AGTATGGATCTTTGTCTTTTTGTGAGTCTATGAGTATCTGTGTGGTGAGTATGTGTCTGTGTGTAATGAGTGGGTTTCTGTGTGATTAGTTTGTGGGTCTCTGTGCTTAGTCTGTTGATTTATGTGTGATGAGTCTGGGTCTCTTTGTGATGAGTCTGCAGGGTATTTGTCTGGTGATTCTATGGGTCTCTGTGTGGTGAGTCTATTGCTCTGTGTGGTGATCTAAGGGTCTCTGTGTGGCGAGTCTGTGGGTATCTTGTGTGTCTGTGGGTCTCTGTGTGGTGAGTTGGGGTCTCTGTGTGATGAGTCTGTGGATCTGTGTGGTGAGTTGGGGGTCTCTGTGTGGTGAGTCTGGGTCTGTGGTGAGTCTGTGGGTATCTTGTGTGTCTCTGGGTCTCTCTGTGTGAGTCTTTGTGATTCTATGGGTCTCTGTGAGTTTGTGGGTCTCTGTGTGATGAGTCTATGGATCTATGTAAGGCTTGGCGGTGAGTGAGACTGTGGGGTGAGTATTTTTTTTGTGTGGTGAGATTTTTGGGGTTGCTGTGATCGTTGTGATGGTGGCTGTTGTGATCATCGTGGTAGTGATCGTTGTGATCATGGTGGTTGTAGTGGTTGTGATTTAATTTCTGGTTGTTGTGATCATTTTGGTGGTTTTATTGTTTTGTGGTGGTTTTTATAGTTGTGGTTGTGATGGTTGTTGTGGTTGTGATTGTTGTAACCCGGTAAAATCAACCCCCCTACCTTTGACTTAAAGCAGGGGTCGGGAACCTTTTTGACTAAGAGAGCCATGAAAGCAAAAAATTTGGAAATTTATTTCAGTGAGAGCCATATAATATATTTTAAAAGTGAATTCAACTAAATGTCAGTATAATAAGCCTCTGAATTTATTCTTTTAAATAATGTTGTTATAACACTCACCATTAATGCGACTTCTGGTGCTGCATGGATTTGCTGATGTCTTTGTAGTCGGGTTGGTACTTGGTGAGGTTAAGCTTCATGCAAGCGTTGTGGCTTTCATCCGTTAAACGTGATCGTAGGTTGGACTTGATGTTTTTAAGATGTGAGAATGACTGCTCACATGCATACGTAGATCCAAACATGGTCAATACAGCAATACTCACACGCTGCAGTGTGTGGTATGTGACAGGAAGCGCGTTCCAAGTTTTGAGAATCAGCTGGTCTTCGGGTTGGAGTTTTTTCATTTCTGTCCACATGTGCTTGCTCGCCAACTCCGCTTTCTGTCGTGTGATTCTTTCCAAATCTTCATTCAGTGACTTGAACTTATTCACCCACATGTCTGAGGCCTTCAGGTCAGCCACTTCTGCTTCAAAATCTCTGACGGAGACACCAGGGATGTAATTCAGGTCGGCTGTGTTCAGTGAACACTCGTTTGGATGGGTGATGAACTTAAAAAGATGAGTGTGCTCACGAAATTCTCCAAAGCGTGCTTTGAAGGACTGTAGGAGACTGGATGTGCAGCCAGCTAGCTGGTGGAGATCAAGGTTTTGAATGGGCTCACTTGCTGTGCATGCATCTTTAAATTGGCTCAGTTTTTCAAAATGTAGTAAATGACCTGTTTCAAGATCCGTGATGAAAAGCTCCAGCTTGTTTTCAAAAGCAAATACAGCTTGTTGAAGGGATAACACTGTATTTCCAATGCCTTGCATTTTCACGTTGAGCTGGTTCAGATGTTCAGTCAGATCTACGAGATAGTAAAACTTGAGGAGCCACTCGGTGTCGGCTAGCTCAGGATGCCCGACGCCTTTCATTTCAAGGAAAGTCCGGATTTCGTTCAGGCAAGCCGCAAAACGGCTAAGCACCTTTCCTCTTGACAACCAACGCACATTGCTGTGCAAAAGCAGACCAGGATAGTTATTTACAACTTCATCCAGCAGTGTTTTAAACTGGCGATCATTTAAGGCTCGGGCAACAATAAAGTTGATCACACGAATGACCAGCGACATCACTTCGCCAAACTGCCTGTCACACATCTGAGCACAAAGTGCCTCCTGGTGTATAATGCAATGGAAACTTAGGATGGGTCTATTTTCATGTTCACGGAGAAGCGCCACAAATCCTTTGTTTTTCCCCACCATACACGGAGCACCATCAGTACACACTGAGAGAAGTTTATCCATAGGTAGACTTTTTTCTTGAGCAAACTCCATGAAAGACTTGAATAAATCCTCACCTCTTGTGGACCCTTTTAATGGCAGAACAGCAAGACTTTCTTTGCGCAGTGTGTCACCAACAGCATATCTTGCAATCACGCTGAACTGCGACAAATGGCTCACGTCTGTTGACTCATCCAAAGACAGAGAAAAGAACGGCGCTGCATTTATGTCCTTCACTTGCGTTTCCTCCACTTTGTTTGCCATCACGATGGTACGATCATGAACAGTTCTTGCCGACAGAGGCATGTCTTGTATCCGTTTGATTATCTTGTCTTTGTTCGGAAGATCATCAAAAAGTTCATTGGCTACATCCAGCATGAACGTTTTAGCATACTCGCCATCTGTGAATGGTTTTCCGTTCCTCACTATTGCTAAAGAACCAGCAAAGCTAGCCGAATTATAGTCACCTTGCCGGGTCCATACGCGGAGTTGCTGCTGGCTAGCTTGCACCCTGCTCAGAAGCTCTTGGCACGCTTTCTTTCTGCTGTCTCCCGCAGGGTATTTTGATGCAAAGGTAGCGTGGCGCGTGTCGAAGTGCCGCTTTACATTCGACCGTTTCAACGATGTAATTTTGTCATTGCAAATTAGACACACCGCAGAACCCGCTCTCTCCACAAAGGCGAATTCTTCAGTCCATTCGTCCTGAAATGTACGATACTCGTCGTCTTTTTTTCTTTTCGCCATCTTCTTCGTCGAAGGGTTAGCTTTGAGCTAATGACCGAGCAGACGCAGTCTCAGACTGATTCAAAAGGGGGCGTTTACCTGTTTTACCCAGCAACGGCAAACGTAGGCCAGTATCATCCAATTAAAATAATGGACAATTGCTCCTGCAGCCCTGAACAGGACATGCGCAGTGAAAAATCGATGGATGGATTAAAACAAGTGAGAATATTTTGTTTTATCTGCGAGCCATATGCAATCATCAAAAGAGCCACATCTGGCTCGCGAGCCATAGGTTCCCGACCCCTGACTTAAAGCTTTCGCGACTGCAGGAATTCATATTCTTTGGGTCTTTCCGTAAAGTCACTTAGGTAGGTTCAAAGAAAATAACAAAAAATAACAAAAAGCCACAACATAGCTGCCTCTCACATTAACATAGCCACCTCTCGCATTAACATAGCCACCTCTCACATTAACATAGCCACCTCTCACATTAACATAGCCACCTCTTACATTAACATAGCCACCTCTCGCATTAACATAGCCACCTCTCACATTCACATAGCCGCATCTTGCATTCACATAGCCACCTCTCGCATTAACATAGCCACCTCTCACATTAACATAGCCACCTCTCACATTCACATAGCCGCATCTTGCATTCACATAGCCACCTCTCGCATTAACATAACCACCTCTCACATTAACATAGCCGCCTCTCACATTAACATAGCCGCCTCTCACATTAACATAGCCACCTCTCGCATTAACATAGCCACCTCTCAGTTTAACATAGCCACATCTCAGATTAACATAGCCACCTCTCACATTAACATAGCCACCTCTCAAATTAACATAGCCACTTCTCACATTAACATAGCCACCTCCACGCCTCTCGTCGTGGACGTCGTTCCTCCGATCTCACATTAACATGCCAATTTCTCACATTAACATAACTAGCCCCGCCCACTTCGTTTATGACCCTTGTGCTACACCCATTGTAAACATTTTAGACGGTCTGCCTCAGCAGCTTTCCCCCTCTTTTTTCTTCCTGATGACGAACGCTTGTGTTGCGATCGAAACGTCATCGTTTTTTTTGTTATTTTTTTTTAATATTTTCTTTGAACCTATCTAAGTGACCTTACCAAAAGACCCAAAGAATATGAACCGCCCTACCTCCTCGGTGGTGCCGGATGGTCACTGTGGTGGATTAAGCAAAGCCACGGAGAGAAGGCCAATTCAATCGGCTGTTCCCCGCATGGCTCTCTTAGCCACCACGGTGGCCAACGGGGCTCTGGATGGGTGTGAGAGGCTGGTAACACCTCCAACTTAAATTTAATGACCACAAAAACACGTGCAAAATATCGAACTAAGGCAAAAAAAAAAAACACTGCGAGTGGCCACATGAATTTTTAGAACACTCACTGCGGTGCAGAGGCTGCCACTCCCCTGTTGGATGCTAGACCGGTACCGCCTGGATCTCTGTGGCATTACAGCAGGTCTGGTGGACGGTCCTTTACTTGGGGCAGGAGACTACCAAACGACAGGCAGAGTGGCTCTTCTGAACAAAACAATGAAGGGGGCGTGGGAGTATGGTGGTGAGGTGTGGGAGGCTGTAAGCCCCAGGCTTCTGTGGGCTCGCCTTCCCTTCAACGGGAGGCGAGGAATGGTAGTGGTTGCTTATGGTCCCATCGAAGATGAACATCAGGCTGGCTCGATAAGTCAGAAGAGTTCTAAAACTAAACTATTTTTTAAAATTATTTTAGCAGGTAAGGCTCACCGAGTTATTTAGCTCTTTTTCAGAAGCAACCTGGCCACAAATGATAGCTCAACAAAGTAGTTTACCATGTGGAAATGTATATCAACCAAATACTCTTAAATGCACGTTTATAAATGTGGAGGGAAACACCGGAGGACCTGGAGAAAATTCCACTCAACTGCGCACATGCAAACTCCAAATATTCAGACGTTGAGGTTGCGATTGAAACCACAATCTCCTGGTTACCAGGTGAAGTAGTTAACATCTCCGAGCCACCGTGGCACTAGCTAAGTGGCTCCTCAGGATAGTTGTTGGTGTGATCGTTGTTGGTATGCTCGTTGTTGGTATGATCGTTGTGATCGTGGTGATTGTTGTTGGTGTGACTGTTGTTGTTGGAATGGCACCAGGACGCTGACTGAGTCATGCTGGACGATGACCCGTCATGTGACCTCTCACATGACCCCACCTCGTCATCCACCACCACCACCTCCTCCTCCGCTCGCTCCACGCGAAGCTCACAGGAAGTGACATCACAGCGGCCACGGGGACAGGAAGTGACCTCACAGCTGCGCCGCTCACAGGAAGTAACATCGCATCGGCGGGGAAAGGAAGTGACATCACAACTGCGGGGACAGGAAGTGACACCTCAGCGGCGCCAGGGACAGGAAGTGGCGTTCCTGGCGGGGAGAGAGGCGGAGGGCGAAGGGGAGGAGCCGTGCTTCTACGAAACGGTGGAAGGTGAGAGGGAGAGACGTAGAGAGAGACCCCAACTCACCACACAGAGACCCCAACTCACCACATAGATACCCATAGACTCACCACGCAGATACCCATAGACTCACCACGCAGACCCATAAATTCACCACACAGAGACCCCCAACTCACCACACAGAGACCCCAACTCACCACACAGATACCCATAGACTCACCACGCAGATACCCATAGACTCACCACACAGATACCCATAGACTCACCACACAGATACCCATAGACTCACCACACACACCCACAGACTCACCACACAGATACCCATAGACTCACCACGCAGATACCCATAGACTCACCACGCAGATACCCATAGACTCACCACACAGACCCATAAATTCACCACACACACCCACAGACTCACCACACAGAGACCCCCAACTCACCACACAGAGACCCCAACTCACCACGCAGATACCCATAGACTCACCACACAGACCCATAAATTCACCACACACACCCACAGACTCACCACACAGAGACCCCAACTCACCACACAGATACCCATAGACTCACCACGCAGATACCCATAGACTCACCACACAGACCCATAAATTCACCACACACACCCACAGACTCACCACACAGAGACCCCCAACTCACCACACAGAGACCCCAACTCACCACACAGATACCCATAGACTCACCACGCAGATACCCATAGACTCACCACACAGACCCATAAATTCACCACACACACCCACAGACTCACCACACAGAGACCCCCAACTCACCACACAGAGACCCCAACTCACCACACAGAGACCCCAACTCACCACACAGAGACCCCAACTCACCACACAGATACCCATAGACTCACCACGCAGATACCCATAGACTCACCACACAGACCCATAAATTCACCACACACACCCACAGACTCACCACACAGAGACCCCCAACTCACCACACAGATACCCATAGACTCACCACGCAGATACCCATAGACTCACCACGCAGATACCCATAGACTCACCACACAGACCCATAAATCACCACACACACCCACAGACTCACCACACAGAAACCCCCAACTCACCACACAGATCCACAGACTCATCACACAGAGACCCCAGCTCACCACACAGACACCCATACTGTTCGAAGTGTGAGTGTGTTATCAATGTCTATGTACTGGGAGTGTGTATGTGAGTGTGTTAGGAGTTTTAGTGTGTATGTGTGTTAGAGGGTACAAGAGGAGAGATATCCGTTAGGGCGCCTGTGGGTTCGGAGTGTGTGGGTGTTATGAGTGTGTACATAGTATGTATGGGAGTGTGTTAATCTTGTCCTGGTCAAACCCCATTGGGCAGAGGCAGGAGACTGGACATCCACCCTCGGAGTTCCTCCAGAAAGGGCAAAAAGCCACTGCGAGTAGCCACGTGGAATGTTCGAATGCTCGCCCCCCTGGAGGAGAGGCTGCCACTCCTCTTGTCAGGAGCTGACCAGTATCTGCCTCTACCTCTGTGGAATACAGGAGGTCTGGTGGACTGGTTCTGGCTCCAGTCACCATTAGGGGTGGCTATTCATCTGAACAAAAGAATGAAGGTGGTGTTGTGGGAGCGTGGTATTTGTGAAGCTGTAATACACAGGCTACTGTGAGTTTCTTACACCCCCACCGGAGATCAACATCAGTGGAGGGATGCAGGCAAGGCCAGTGAGTCAGACACATATGACCTCCTGTCCCAGGTGCTAGCTAAAGTGGCCCATCGGGATAGAGTCATCATGTTGGGTGACTTTAATCCCTGAGTTGGTCATGACGCTGGCACCTGGGCTGCAGTGATTGAAAGGACCAGATCACCTGGCCCATGCTGCTCGACTTCTGTGCAAGCCATGGGCTTGTAATTACCAACACGCTGTTCCGGCATCGGCGCATCCACACAACATCATGGATGCAATGCCGGGTCCAAGCAAGAACATCTGCTGGACTACATAGTGATGGACCAGCGGATGCGAGCCCATGTCCTTGACACCAGGACCTACCGTGGAGCTAAGCTGCCCACTGACCATCGGCTTGTCATCTGTAAGATGCGCCTGCCATTCTTCCACTGGTGGTTGTCGTCCTTCTAGCACCCCATTCAAACCCATAGTGGCATGGTCTCCGCTAGCTGATGAAAGTTGCAAACGAGAATTTAATCATCGCTTGCGGCTGGGATTGGCATCGTCCCCGACTCCTCCTGATGTCGAGGGGAAATGGGCGAGGTTTATGACTGTGACTCATGCAGCTGCAATGGCTGCTTTGGGTACACGGTCCGGACCCCCCCCCCCAGAGAGCCTGGCTGAAGGAGGAGGTGTTCCAGCTGGCTGGAAAAAAGTGACAGTCCCACTCCCAATATCTGCAGCCTTCGCTCAGAGGTTTGGAGAGCCCCGCGCAGCACTGCGAGGATGAGTGGTGGGCGCGGGTTGCTGATGAGATGGAATCTGCCTCAGTAGCCCCGCTATCACAAATCACTCATTAATTCCATCAAAAAAAGTAACTTTTAGTTCATATTCTTAGCTCTTTTGGTAAAGTCACGTTGAAGGGAAACAATAAAATAATAATATATATAAAACAATATTGTTTTATATATATTATTATTTTATTGTTTGAAGGGAAACAATAAAATAATAATAAAAAAACAATATTGTTTTATATATATTATTATTTTATTGTTTGAAGGGAAACAATAAAATAATAATATAAAACAATATTGTTTTATATATATTATTATTTTATTGTTTGAAGGGAAACAATAAAATAATAATAAATATAAAACAATATTGTTTTATATATATTATTATTATTATTCTTTTATTGTTTCCCTTCAACGTGACTTTACCGAAAGAGCTAGGAATATGAATTGCTGCAGTCACGAAAGCTTTCAATCACAATTTAACTTTTTATCTCCTCGCCTATCACCGTCCTTAAGAGAAAGAATGGTGATCCGATCTCTGTCCCCCCCCTGCAGGGTTTGCTGAGCATTCCCTTGAGGTCTTTCCCTCCGGCCAGAAAACATCACGGGCGCCGCCGCTCGAATCATCTAACGGCACTTGCCCCGACAGCGCGTGCTCGGCCTACGCCCGGGGGAACCGATGCCCGTTTCTTTTGTGCGCGCCTGTAGGAGGAGTGCGCCTGTTCCGCTGCCGCCTGTGCGCCTACAGCAGCCCGCGGAGGTCGTACCTCCCCACGCACAACCTGACGCACACCCAGCAGAACCCCTTCTCCTGCAGCCTCTGTCCCTACGAGTGCAAGTCCAAGCAGCAGCTGGACACGCACGCCATGAAACACTCGGGTGAGCCGAGGCTCCGGGGAACGCTCGCACGCTCGCACGATCACGCTCAGTCTCGCACGCTCACGCTCGCACGCTCACGCTCGCACGATCACGCTCGCACACTCACGCTCACACGCTCACGCTCGCACGATCACGCTCGCACGCTCACGCTCGCACGCTCACGCTCGCACGATCACGCTCGCACACTCACGCTCACACGCTCACGCTCGCACGCTCACGCTCGCACGATCACGCTCGCACGATCACGCTCGCACACTCGCACGCTCACTCTCGCACGATCACGCTCGCACACTCGCACGCTCACGCTCGCACGCTCACGCTCGCACGATCACGCTCGCACACTCACGCTCGCACGCTCACGCTCGCACGATCACGCTCGCACGATCACGCTTGCACACTCACGCTCGCACACTCACGCTCGCACGCTCAACGCTCGCACGCTCAACGCTCGCACGCTCACGCTAGCACACTGAGGCTCGCACAATCAGGCTCGCACACTCACGCTCGCACGTTCAGGCTCGCACGCTCAACGCTCGCACGCTCACGCTAGCACACTCACGCTCGCACGTTCAGGCTCGCACGCTCGCACACTCAACGCTCAACGCTCGCACGCTCTCACGCTCTCACGCTCTCACGCTCGCACGATCACGCTCGCACGCTCAGGCTCGCACGATCAGGCTCGCACGATCACGCTCGCACGATCACGCTCGCACGATCACGCTCGCACACTCACGCTCGCACGATCACGCTCGCACGATCACGCTCACACGATCACGCTCGCACGATCACGCTCGCACACTCACGCTCGCACGCTCACGCTCGCACACTCAGGCTCGCACGCTCACGCTCGCACACTCACGCTCGCACGATCACGCTCGCACACTCACGCTCGCACGATCACGCTCGCACGATCACGCTCGCACGCTCAGGCTCGCACACTCAGGCTCGCACGCTCACGCTCGCACGATCACGCTCGCACACTCACGCTCGCACGATCACGCTCGCACACTCAGGCTCGCACACTCACGCTCACACACTCACGCTCGCACGATCACGCTCGCACGATCACGATCACGCTCTCACGCTCGCACACTCACGCTCGCACGCTCACGCTCGCACGATCACGCTCGCACACTCACGCTCGCACGCTCACGCTCGCACGATCACGCTCGCACGATCACGCTTGCACACTCACGCTCGCACACTCACGCTCGCACGCTCAACGCTCGCACGCTCAACGCTCGCACGCTCACGCTAGCACACTGAGGCTCGCACAATCAGGCTCGCACACTCACGCTCGCACGTTCAGGCTCGCACGATCACGCTCGCACGCTCAACGCTCGCACGCTCACGCTAGCACACTCACGCTCGCACGTTCAGGCTCGCACGCTCGCACACTCAACGCTCAACGCTCGCACGCTCTCACGCTCTCACGCTCTCACGCTCGCACGATCACGCTCGCACGCTCAGGCTCGCACGATCAGGCTCGCACGATCACGCTCGCACGATCACGCTCGCACGATCACGCTCGCACGATCACGCTCGCACACTCAGGCTCGCACGATCACGCTCGCACGATCAGGCTCGCACGATCACGCTCGCACGATCACGCTCGCATACTCACGCTCGCACACTCACGCTCGCACGATCACGCTCGCACGATCACGCTCACACGATCACGCTCGCACGATCACGCTCGCACACTCACGCTCGCACGCTCACGCTCGCACACTCAGGCTCGCACGCTCACGCTCGCACACTCACGCTCGCACGATCACGCTCGCACACTCACGCTCGCACGATCACGCTCGCACGATCACGCTCGCACGCTCAGGCTCGCACACTCAGGCTCGCACGCTCACGCTCGCACGATCACGCTCGCACACTCAGGCTCGCACACTCACGCTCGCACGATCACGCTCGCACACTCAGGCTCGCACACTCACGCTCACACACTCACGCTCGCACGATCACGCTCGCACGATCACGATCACGCTCTCACGCTCGCACACTCACGCTCGCACACTCACGCTCGCACGCTCACGCTCGCACGATCAACGCTCGCACGATCACGCTCGCACGCTCAGGCTCGCACACTCACGCTCGCACACTCAGGCTCGCACACTCACGCTCGCACACTCAGGCTCGCACACTCACGCTCGCACGATCACGCTCGCACACTCACGCTCGCACACTCAGGCTCGCACGATCACGCTCGCGCGATCAGGCTCGCACGCTCACGCTCGCACACTCACGCTCGCACGATCACGCTCGCACACTCACGCTCGCACGATCACGCTCGCACACTCACGCTCGCACGCTCAGGCTCGCACGATCACGCTCGCACGATCACGCTCGCACGATCACGCTCGCACGATCACGCTCGCACGATCACGCTCGCACGATCACGCTCGCACGATCACGCTCGCACGTTCACGCTCGCACACTCACGCTCGCGCGATCACGCTCGCACGATCACGCTCGCACGATCACGCTCGCACACTCACGCTCGCACGATCACGCTCGCACGATCACGCTCGCACGCTCACACTCGCACGCTCAGGCTAGCACACTCACGCTCGCACGATCACGCTCGCACACTCACGCTCACACGCTCACGCTCGCACGATCACGCTCGCACGATCACGCTCGCACGATCACGCTCGCACACTCGCACGCTCACTCTCGCACGATCACGCTCGCACACTCGCACGCTCACGCTCGCACGCTCACGCTCGCACGATCACGCTCGCACACTCACGCTCGCACGCTCACGCTCGCACGATCACGCTCGCACGATCACGCTTGCACACTCACGCTCGCACACTCACGCTCGCACGCTCAACGCTCGCACGCTCAACGCTCGCACGCTCACGCTAGCACACTGAGGCTCGCACAATCAGGCTCGCACACTCACGCTCGCACGTTCAGGCTCGCACGCTCAACGCTCGCACGCTCACGCTAGCACACTCACGCTCGCACGTTCAGGCTCGCACGCTCGCACACTCAACGCTCAACGCTCGCACGCTCTCACGCTCTCACGCTCTCACGCTCGCACGATCACGCTCGCACGCTCAGGCTCGCACGATCAGGCTCGCACGATCACGCTCGCACGATCACGCTCGCACGATCACGCTCGCACGATCACGCTCGCACACTCAGGCTCGCACGATCACGCTCGCACGATCAGGCTCGCACGATCACGCTCGCACGATCACGCTCGCATACTCACGCTCGCACACTCACGCTCGCACGATCACGCTCGCACGATCACGCTCACACGATCACGCTCGCACGATCACGCTCGCACACTCACGCTCGCACACTCAGGCTCGCACGCTCACGCTCGCACACTCAGGCTCGCACGATCACGCTCGCACGATCAGGCTCGCACGATCACGCTCGCACGATCACGCTCGCATACTCACGCTCGCACACTCACGCTCGCACGATCACGCTCGCACGATCACGCTCACACGATCACGCTCGCACGATCACGCTCGCACGCTCACGCTCGCACACTCAGGCTCGCACGCTCACGCTCGCACACTCACGCTCGCACGATCACGCTCGCACGATCACGCTCGCACGCTCAGGCTCGCACACTCATGCTCGCACACTCAGGCTCACACGATCACGCTCGCACGATCACGCTCGCACACTCAGGCTCGCACACTCAGGCTCGCACGCTCACGCTCGCACACTCACGCTCGCACGATCACGCTCACGCTCGCACGATCACGCTCGCACACTCACGCTCGCACACTCACGCTCGCACGATCACGCTCGCACGTCTTAGGGGCCCCCTACGGTCGAGGGACGGTGAACAACGACGCTCCGAACCGCTCCTCTGAAATGCCCAGAAACACCTTGACACAGTCTTGATTTGAAGCCTGACACAGTTCTAACCGATACTCTGAATCACTTGTCTGAGACACTCACACGCTCACTCACACTGTCACTCACACTCCGATTGCACTTTGCTGTGAAAACTGCTCCCTCCCTCCCCCAGGCCTGCGCCCCTTCAAGTGTCCGCACTGCGAGTATGCGACATTCGCCCGGAGCCACTTGCGCCAGCACCTCGCCCGCTTCCACCACCACCACCCCTCCCCCTCCCCCCCCCTCTTGACCCTCTCCCGTAGGGGAGGGGCTCGGCGTGCCCGCTCCCGGGGTGGCGGGGGAGGAGCGGGGGGAGGGGCGGGGGAGTCCCTCGCCCTGCTCCAGCACGGCAGAGCCAGGGGCCACGGTGAGTGGGGAGGGGGAGGCTGGAGACAGTTACTGTGAAGTGAGCCACGGGGAGACACGCAGAGACTCCAGGAGTCGCGCGGGGACGCGGGGAGCCACGGGGAGACTTGGGGAGACTTAGGGAGACACGTAGAGACTCCAGGAGTCACGTGGAGACGCTGGGAGCCACGGGGAGACTTGGGGGAGACTTAGGGAGACACGCAGAGACCCCAGGAGTCACGTGGAGACGCTGGGAGCCACGGGGAGACTTGGGGGAGACTCGCAGAGACTCCAGGAGTCACGCGGGGACGCGGGGAGCCACGGGGAGACTTGGGGAGACTTAGGGAGACACGCAGAGACTCCAGGAGTCACGTGGAGACGCTGGGAGCCACGGGGAGACTTGGGGAGACTTAGGGAGACTTGGGGAGACACGCAGAGACTCCAGGAGTCGCGCGGAGACGCGGGGAGCCACGGGGAGCCACCGGCAAACACGCAGAGACTCCAGGAGTCGTGTGGAGATGCTGGGAGCCACGGGGAGACTTGTGGAGACTTAGGGAGACTCGCAGAGACTCCAGGAGTCACGTGGAGACGCGGGGAGCCACGGGGAGACTTGGGGAGACTTAGGGAGACTTGGGGAGACACGCAGAGACTCCAGGAGTCGCGTGGAGACGCGGGGAGCCACGGGGAGCCACCGGCAAACACGCAGAGACTCCAGGAGTCACGTGGAGACGCGGGGAGCCACGGGGAGACTTGGGGGAGACACGCAGAGACTCCAGGAGTCACGTGGAGACGCTGGGAGCCACGGGGAGACTTGGGGAGACTTGGGGAGACACGCAGAGACTCCAGGAGTCACGTGGAGACGCGGGGAGCCACGGGGAGACTTGGGGAGACACGCAGAGACTCCAGGAGTCACGTGGAGACGCTGGGAGCCACGGGGTGCCACGGGGAGACTTGGGGGAGACACGCAGAGACTCTAGGAGTCGCGTGGAGACGTGGGGAGCCACGGGGAGACTTGGGGAGACTCGCAGAGACTCCAGGAGTCACGTGGAGACGCGGAGAGCCACCGGCAGACACGCAGAGACTCCAGGAGTCGCGTGGAGACGCTGGGAGCCACGGGGAGCCACGGGGAGACTTGGGGAGACTTGGGGAGACACGGAGAGTCACTCGGAGGCTCGGCGAGTGATGGGGAGACTCGGGGAGCCACGCGCAGACTCGGGATGCTGCGGGGAGACGCGGGGAGACGTGAGGACACTCGGGGAGACGTGAGGACACTCGGGGAGACGTGAGGACACTCGGGGAGACGCGAGGACGCTCGGGGAGACGTGAGGACACTCGGGGAGACGCGAGGACACTCGGGGAGACGCGAGGACACTCGGGGAGACGTGAGGACACTCGGGGAGACGCGAGGACACTCGGGGAGACGCGAGGACACTCGGGGAGACGCGAGGACACTCGGGGAGACGTGAGGACACTCGGGGAGACGCGAGGACGCTCGGGGAGACGTGAGGACACTCGGGGAGACGTGAGGACACTCGGGGAGACGTGAGGACACTCGGGGAGACGCGAGGACACTCGGGGAGACGCGAGGACACTCGGGGAGACGTGAGGACACTCGGGGAGACGCGAGGACGCTCGGGGAGACCCGGTGCGCCACGAGGAGACGTCTGAGGAACCGCAGAATAAAGGAAGTCGCCAACCTCCCATGAGGAACAAGTGAGGCAGATGCCGAGAGATGCTCGGAGGAGGAAGGGAAGGAGGTGGAAGTGGGGAGGGGGCGGGGGCAGGGTGGGAGAGGGAGGGAGGGGGGGAGGAAGAGGGAGTGGGAGTGAGAATGTGAGGAGGTGGAGATACAAGATGGAGGAGACCGCTTGACCCCCTTCTCACCTCCCCCCCCTCCCTCCCCACCGCCCCCCCCCCCCATTCCCCCCCCCCCCCGACCCCCCAGGAGTAGGAGGAGGGATGAGCCCCCCACTAGCACCACAGCCACCCAGGCTGCCCCCCCGGGTCCTCTGCTGCTCCCGCTGCCCCTACCGCACCTCGCGGAGGGACCGGCTCCTCCTGCACCAGACCCGTCGTCACGGCAACCACCACGACCACCCAGCCACCATCACGACCGCCGCAGCAACAACGACAACAACCAACAATGACAGCAAATCCTCTGGAGGAGATTTAGGAGGGAAATTTAGTGGAGGAGGAGGTGGTGGTGGAGGAGGTGGAGGAGGAGGTGGAGGAGGAGGTGGTGGAGGAGGTGGAGGTGGAGGAGGAGGAGGAGGTGGAGGAGGTGGAGGAGGAGGAGGTGGAGGAGGGAGCTCCCTGCTCCGAGCTGCGCTAACCGCCGTGCCCTCGGCTGCCTCCTCCTCCTCCTCCTCCTCGCCTCTCCGTATTAACCTGGGATCACTGCTCAAAGGCAGGCGGGCACCATCCATGGGTCGGGGCTCTCGGACAAGGTCACGGCCACCGCCACCGCTGCCGCCGGCGACGACGGCGACGACGACCGCGAGGAGGAGGAGGAGGAGGACCTCGCTGGAGGAGGTCGAGGGAGATCCGGAGGACGCGGAGGGAGATCTGGGAGATCCGGAGGAGGCGGGTGCCCTGGACGACCTGGAGAAGGCGGAGGAGGCCCAGGAAGATCTGGAGGGGGATGAGGAGGCCCACGGCGACCGAGGAGACCTGGGGGAGAACCCTCACGGTGAGCTGGGGGAGGCGGATCACTTCAAGTCGCCAGGGCACCCGGCCGCCGTGACATCGGAACCCCTCAACGGAGACTCTGGGACCGCCGCCCTCTCAACCACCACCGCCGCCCTCTCAGCCGACGCTGCCGACAGCGACCGCTGCTCCTCCGCCGCCTCCGCCGCCTCCGCCGCCTCCGCCGCCTCCGCCGCCTCTGCTGGTCCCGCATCGCCGCCACCGCCGCCGCCACCACCGCCTCAGCCGCCACCGCCTCAGCCGCCGGCGGCGTTGGGCGGACGCAAGGTGCCCCCTTTGCGCCAGGCCAAGTCCCGGGCCTCCTTCAGCCGCCCGTCCCCGTTCCCTCCGCAGGCGGCCGAGGGCCCCGCCTTCCGGCGTGCCGCGGGAGGCCACTACCAGTGCCTGCAGTGCCCCTTCCTCACCGCCCACCGCCGCTCCATCTCACGCCACGTCCTCAACATCCACACGGGCGGCGCCCGGCGCCAATCCGGCGGTGGTGGCGGTGGTGGTGGCAGGAGGAGCAGGGGGGGTAAGGATGCCGGGCCGGATTTTGGCACCCCGGGATCCCGGCCCGCCCAGGGCTTCTCCTGCCAGCGCTGTGACTTCCGCTGCGCCACAGCCTACTCCTTCGTGCTGCACGTGCAGGCCCACCGGGGCAGCGGCGGCGGGGCGGGGAGCGGAGCAACGGGCGACGTCGGCGCGGGGGCCGCGGGGGCCGCGGGGGCCGCGGGGGCCGCGGGGGCCGCGGGGGCCGCGGGCCCGGGGGCCCCCGCGGACGTGGGGGCGGACGACGCGGCCGGCGGGCGGAGGAAGGCGCCGGCTCGGAGGTTGCGCTGCGCATGCTGCGACTACCGGAGCCACTCGGTCAAGG